GTACAAGGTTTTTTTCGTCTAATTTGTTTTTAACTTTGCATGTTTTGATACTGTTGCTGTTTACTCTGGCTACATTGAACATTCCTGGACTTGTTATGTAGTTATTAAAATACACTTTCAAAAATAGAAATGGGAGTTTAATTCTTAAGGTTATGGCTATGAGATTGACAAGAAATCTCTATACCTGTATATCCTTCACGTTCTTCGTCATGTCTCCTGACAAAGAACCTGACTAGAGGGAGATTTAGGTTTAAGAATATTATTCTGTTGGCATACTTCTGCTTTGAACTGCAAAGCCTTCTTCTCCATCCATCCATCCGTCCATCCATCCATCCATCCATCCATCCATCCATCCATCCGCAGAGAACCCCAAACTTCCTTTTCGCTGGCCACATTAACTGGCTCTGATTGCGGGATTCCTAGGAGCTCCCAGGCCAGTGTGGAGATATAATCCCTCCAATTAAAAGAGGCGGATTTGGAATACAGTTCTCCCTATGTCGTTATATCCTAAAATCAACAATTAGTCCATCTGATCCATATTAGCACATGATGGTAAATGGAAAAAAAAGGAAATATGCTCATGTTTGGTCAAGGGTGTTTTGGCATCTTATGTGCATATGTATTTCATTAGTTCACACAGATGCTTGCAATATAATCTCCAAGAGCATTTTTACTGGCATATCTTTACAGCCTCTACACTACAGTATTCACAAGGGAGGACCATTTTCCGCAATGACCTATGGCACTTTGATGGAGTCCTGCAGCGTTATCGTCATGACAACAACTTGAACATGTTTAGCGCAGATATGGTGCAGCAGTTATGACTCCTTACTATAAGTAAGTAGGAGCATACACTGAGACAGGCCTGGTTCTGTTCAGGGGCATTAGGGGGCATCACAGCCTAACTTTGTCACCCCTTAGAAGCTTTTTTCCACGACACCACACCAGGGATAGCTAAGGCCAGTTATATTATATTATTGTTGCAGCCAAACTTCCGTATAATTCCAAAGAAAATCTAAATGTTGATGACACTTAAACTATATCATTTTTTAGATTTAATAATTTCCAACAACAGCAAGTTTTTCTGAAGGAAATACTTATATCCCAACAGGTTGGAGTCAGTACTAAAGAGGAATACACTTATATTTGATTTGCAACAAACATGCTAAAACTTGCTTTAATCTGGCATTAATTTGATCAAATAAAGTAAGTCTCTATTTTAGTGTTAATAGCAGTAAGTACTCAGAACCTATTGAATATTAAAATGTGAATAGGATATGTGAATGTGCATGTTTATTTTTTATAATGTTTGCTTATGTCTGCAAGAAATGTGATATTTATAATGCACACTGTGCATATACCTCAATATCATTTGAACAGGCCCGAGGAGTAAGAGTAAGATTGCATGCAACGGGATGTGTTATCAGGATACAAAAAGATAACGTGTTATTACATTTTAAATAATGAACATTATATTACAAAGCAAATGCTGTGGGTGCTCTTAATCAATACAATATAGCAAACAAAAAAAGAGCTTATTTTGTTTCCTGTAAGAGGAGAAGATTTGATTTCTGCATTGTGGGCTTAACTGTGTTGTAGGCCCATACTTGTAGTAGTCTCTAATGAAAGGCAGATTTTTTAAACTACATTTCTTGGTTTCTTCTTTTCTAAGGTTAGATTGTTCTGTTGTCAACATAAAACACTTAAAGGTGGGGTAGGTAAGTTTGAGAAACCGGCTCGAGATACACTTTTTGTTATATTCCATGGAATGCCCTTAACATCCCGATAGCAATGAATATCTTAAAGGAGAGGTGTCATGCTTTTCCGGTTATTACCCGTCCCCTTGTGTGTTATGAAGGTTTTTATGCATGTAAACGGTGTGCAGAGTCAAAACCCTCAAAGTACACCCTATAGCGAGTAAAACTCTAACACAGAAAATACCTCCCCAAAACGCCTCGTTGGAGATACGTCATTGTCCATTTGATTCTTCCGGGTATGGCATGATGTCAAGCCGTACCCGGAACGAAATGGACCAATCTGTGGAGCCGTTACGTTACGTCCGCGGAGCCGTTACGTTAAGCCCCCGCTGATTGGTCCAAATTGACCAATCCACGGACTTCCTCACACACACATCTGTGTGCAGGGAGCAGGCAGCTCAGCTGATTTCTCCTCCCTGGCTGCAGGCTGTTAACAGACAGTTGGGATCGCGGCGATATTCTCTCTGCAGACCCATTCTCACAGCGTTTATCAAGCTTTTTCTTACTCAATATCAAGCCACACTTATTGTTTTTACTTCGGATGTGAGTTTGTGTGTGCTCAGGATGAGTTTGGCTGTGTTTCGCTATGTATCCTAAACAAGGAAACAACACCTCCACAGAGCTCAGCGCGATTCACAACGTCCCGACCAATCAGAGCACACTGTGCTCACAGGGAGGGTGGGGGCTGGAGCTTTGAGAGCTACAACGAGCCGTTAAAGGCAGAGAGTGACATTCAGTGAATACAAGTAGTTTACAGAGATGCTGTATGAGAAACCAATGTGAGTTTGGAAAAATGCACAGTATAAATCTATTTTAGTATACCTCAACAATGGAATTATGATCAGTGGAAATGGCCATGACACCTCTCCTTTAAAAAATCCATAAAAAAATGTCATCTGTGGAAGCCGTAGTACTGTAAAAAGCACGACCAATAATTTTAGCCGGCCCGGCTAAAATAACTGGATGGCCTACCTGCCTGTCAGCCTTCCATCTGTGCACAAACTTATCTCGTGCCCTCATTGGTCATGTGCGCGTTTGTGTGTGTTGGAGGAGGGGGTCTGTAAGGAAGTGGCAGATTTTTTCCGGCTGTGTATTTTCAAATTCTAGCGCACTCGAGCTGGTTTCTCCAAAATTACCTACCCCACCTTTAAGTGTTGATATTTATTTTTCTGCATTGCATTTGATATTGACCTAATTCAAAAGTAACATTAAGTAATCAGGTTACATAATTTGATTTTGTAATACTAAGATTAGGTTACTGATAACATGATTACATTATTTCTACAGGTATTTGAAACGGATTACATTTTCAAGGTAACCCCCCAACCTTGAATATAAATAGATATGGTGTGCCAGTGCCTTAAAAATCATGGAAAATGGGTTTCTATTTTCATATGGTGTATGACTAAATGTACACTTGTTTGTGTACAAATGTGTGTGCGTGAGTGTGCATCTGTGCAAGACAGCATATTACTCACAAGTCTCTTCCTCTCTGTGCTTGAAGTGTATCTTATTGACTGATAGAAATGGGATGCTGCTGTGCATGGGTTGGTAGCATGTTGGTAATGTTTACAGTGTTCGGCTAATCACGTGACAGTCAAAGAGTCCTGCCGTTGGAGCGCGCGGGACCACCCACGTGGCCAAAAAAGGAACAGCCACGTAATTGTGAGTGAACCTTTTCCTACGCAGAACAGGATGCCTGCGACCAAGACGGATTACAAAGGAGTCTTTTTACTGCTCACAACAATAAAGCATGTATTTGTATCTTCATCATACCTGTCACGTTTCAGGCTCCACGGGGGGCGGATATCACGGATTTGTTCTGCAAGCTCTCCCCATCTGGACTGAAGATGGTGAGTGCAGGTCTGGCAGCCAGACGAGCCGCTGACCTCAGGTGTGAAGTTTGGTCTGACAGACTGATCTCAGGTCCATAAAGTGCTACACAGGCTAATTACCACACAATTCCTCTTTGTTTAGTTAAGCCTGTTGTATTGTTCAGATTCACTCACATCTTATAGTAAATTAAGTGATTTTGCTTTTCCCTTTTAAGGGTTAGATCTTGGATACAGTTCTCAAAAATGTGTCTTTTAGATATTTTTCTCCCATTGGTTCTGTAACCATCTGGGATTTGGTTTATAAACAAGTGACATTTAGGGGAGCAGACATTCATTTTTGTTTTAATGTCAACATGTTGATGTCGATTTCTTGAAAAGTTATTTATCTTCTGGCATAGTGGACGATTGATTGAAGTCTGCAGTATGCTTATCTGAAAATAGTGTGAAATTTGACATTGTCAAAGGATATAACAGTCTGATATAAACTATTCATGGTTAAGATATCGATAAATCCACAATGTCATTGACCTGAGAGATACATTTCAGATGTTAGAGCGTTATGCACCAAAATTAAATCTGCGTCTGGGGGACATGTTAATGAGTTTTTTTTTTATCTACATAAACGCACCTTTGTGATATTGTAGCAATTTATAGCAGGGAATAGGCGGTATGAGTAAAGTGGATAATAAAAGTTAATACAGAAAAACATTCCTATGCGTAAAATCGCCTATACCACAAAAGTGTGAGACAATGGTCAAACATAACTGTAGCCTATACACCATTTAAAGTTTACGGTTACCTTTATTAAAACCAACATAGAGTTTTGGCTGTAGGCTATCCCTGGCTGTAATACAGCATAGAAATATACATGCTACAAGTGGTGTTGATATTGTAACGACAACACACTGTGGGTACCTCCCCTTGAACCGCTGTAATTTGAGGCTCAACTACCACCACCATGGTAGAAACAAAATCTAAGTTAAAAACTGAAGTTCTGACATTCCTCGGGCCCTTCCGTCGCACAGACCGTGTACCTTGCTTCAGACTTCAGGTCGACGGGAAATGCTTCTTTCTAACGACAAGGCGCTGTGGAAACCCAAAACAACGTACGAACCAAGCGGCTTTGGCTCTCAGCGAGCCTCCCCTGAAGTTGGAGATGCACACATGAGGTCTCCCTGCCTGGGTGGTCTCTCTACTTTAGTGAGCTGTTGCTAAGCAGCTAATAATAGTCGTGTTTGCTGAGTAATTTTTGCCCTTCTGGAACCAATCAGATGCAAGAAAGTCCTGCAATCTGACAGCCCCAGAGGCGGGATCTCGGTTTTTTTTCCTTTACACCCCTCCTCCTCCGCCTCCAAATGGAGAGAGGTCTTTTTCTCCTCTTCTATTGAATCTCAGAGTTGGCCGTGACGCGCGGCCCAGGGGAAGACCACATAGATCTCACCAGAATGCAACGACTATCGAGCTTTCTCGCCCGAAGACTTCTGTATGGGAATCACTTTGCGCACCTCCCTTTTTGAGAGAAACTTGCTTTTTTTTAAGAGACACGGGGAATGCGGTGAAAGCGGTGGAGACCTCCGGATCGCGAAATGTTGGGATGGAAGGCGCAGACTTTGACTCGCCGTCTCCAACAGGAGTATGAAGTCCTACTTCACGGTTGTGAGATCTCCGAGAGGGAAACTTTGTTGCCTTGGGATATCGCTACACGCTCTCGGGGAAATACTATAAAGTGGGAAACAGTCTCGCAGTCCCCGCAACATGGCCTCGGCTGCTAATGCGCCCTCCGAGCAGGAAAACAGAGACCCCGATCGGCCCAGGATAAGGCGGAGGAACAGGGGGGACTATACCCGCAACACACCGCTGGATTTGGAGTATTTGCAGCGGCCAAGTTACTGCGATGCGAGCTTCGCTTTGGAGCAAATAACCCAGGTGCTTATTCCTCATCTAAACCGAGAGAGACCTTTGTGGTCTTCGTTTCATTGAATTCGCCGAAAAAAGTGGCCAAACTATGTCCAGTCGCTGCTAGGTAACGGGCTGGGCAGGGGGACACAGGGGTAAGGCAAGGTTGTAGTGAGCGGAGAGGTGGTTCGTTTTTAACTGTGCAACATTTAAAATATCATTCTGCAACTTGCATCTGTTTAAGCACGTGAAGCAAGTTGTATGAGCAAATACAAACACTACTACTACAACATCCCAACCTATAACGGTCTCTGAGCAGGAAAACATGCCGCTTTCACACCACACACAGTCGACACCACTATGACTTTTTCACAACATCCAGCTTGGTGCTTCTCTGCACGAGCGGCGTAAAAAGTTGTTGGCTAACTTTAATGTTAGTTTGACAGTTTCTACACTTGTGAGACTCGTGTAAAGGGGGAAAGAGTCCATGTGGCTGCCCTCTTCCGTTCACAAATATTGTGAGTCCCCCTGTGATGGCTCCTCCACTCCCCATGCAGGCCGGAACACACGGGCTGCTGCACGGGGAGTAGAGCTGCGTGTGGTGGGTTTTGTGGGTTTAACCACATGCCCCCTTTCACGGTATTTAATATCAAAGTATGATGTGCAGGTGTGCGTGGGTATTAAATGCAGAGTACTTAACTGACAAATTACAAAAAATAGAGTAACTTTTGTGGAGTCGGAAGCAAAGCCTTTTTACACTTTTAAGGTGTTTTAGCTCTATTCACAGGGACCATACTTTAACAGGATTATCATGCTTCCAAATCAGGATTTTAAAACCCTGAAATATATGGGTTTGCATAAGGATATCTCTTTATGGAATACAAGACACAGAGAAGGTTTATTATCAAAACATCACCTACTGCATCATTGTGTCCTGACAACTTTGTCTCTTTTACCTTCATCAACTCTGGAGGTCCAGCTCTAAACCTATTTCTGAGCACAGCAACACAAACCAGTGACACCTAATGTCAGTGTGTGTGTATTAGCATCCTCATAACTCATCCGTGTAGCAGCAAAATATCACGAATGGACCAGGCTGTGCGTGTGTGGGTGTAGGTAGGGGATGAAGATATCTTCCTTTTGCATGTCTCATGCTTAGGTTACAGTTTATACATGTTACTGATATGACAGAACCTGTGGCTCTCACTCTAGGGAGCCCTTAGTGGTTTCTAGGCGGTCCTCAACAGATGTGTATATTTCAATCATCACAGGTTAGATGAGTGGGACAGTGAATGAGTTTTAATGTTTTGATCACAACTCCCATTTTCGCCATAGCCATCATTATAGAGACACTTGCAGTCTCAAAGCGAACTAGACTTTTCAAATGAGCTGTCTCTGGAGTCAAATTGTCGCCCATAGTTTAAATATTTGAAGACTCTTTGATTGAACACATCAGGTACCACCCATGGTTTTCAATTCTGTACAACATCAAACCTTTTCTATTAAACCCTTCAGATATACCTGTACAGGTAAGTGTATGTTTTGTGTTTGAATTTACAATAACTTTACTTCTCTTGTCTCATTCTAGGGGAAGGCGACTGGGAGGAAAGCACCTCTATGGCTGAGAGCGAAGTTCCAGAGACTTTTATTCAGGCTGGGCTGTTACATACAAAAGAACTGCGGAAAGTTTTTGGTTGTGGGCCTCATGATTTTTGGAGCTTTTGCTGTGGGCTTAAGGGCAGCTAATTTGGAGACGGACGTGGAGAAACTTTGGGTTGAAGGTAAGAAACTCTGATTTGTTGTCTGTTTGTGTATCTGTTTTGTAAAGTGTGTCTGTGTTTTGAATGTAAGATGCTGGGATTCATATTTTGTTCTATTCTTTTGAAGCTGTAATATTTGATATTGAATGTTTGGACCAGCGTGTGATGGTTTAGATTGGAAGAAATAAGGGTTAGTGGGTGCTACTAAACAAGCCAGGGGAATTGTTTATTGTTTAGGCCCTGGCAAGTGGCCAAGTGAGACTTGAAAATAGTAGAATTTCCCTAATATACTTGCAGCTTCTCAAGCCATTTTAGATGCACATACAAGATGTGCAAGAGGTGACTGTGACTGCACTCAGAAGTAAGGATGTAATTAAGTTCATAAGCAGCTTTAGGGGTAGAGGACATTTTTGTCAAAGCCGCCATTTTGTGAGAGTGTGTGAGTGTGTGTGAGTGTGTGTCTGCCTGCCCCCAGCAGTTGAATGCTCAGAGACTGTGTGTGGTCCCGTTTTGGACAGCTCTCAACTTTCCAAAAAGATTTGTGTCCGGCTGCAGGGAAAAAGCGGAGTGAGGACAGGAACTCATATTTGAGGAGTGGATATGAAGCTCACTTGTTGTTTTTCAGAAACAACTTAAGAAGACTGAACATTTTTAAGGAAAAAGGGACCGTGCATATGGGTGGTGCTTGGGGGGTAAGGGGAAGGGGCTGTGCTTTTTTCCTTTCCTTTGATCCGCATTCCTGCACTTAGGGCTAGAGTTGGCTGTAAGACTCATGAATGGAGAAGCAGATTTTGCTGCTGAGAAATTGAATAGGTATTCTGGTCATGAAAGAAGAAACAAAATAGTTTTCACGCATAGCTGTTTTTAGTTTGTGTGGTTGCCTCTGGTTTCAACCCATTTTAACTACCCACCCTGATATAAACATGTATAGCTCTGGAGATCAAACATTAAAGCAGACTGATTCCTGCACAGATCAAACCCCCCACCTCCTCCCCGGGTTGGCTGTTCCCTCATTGCGTGCTTCTGCAGGGGTCTGACCGGCAGCGTGTTCTTCTAATCTGTGGCGCAGGCGCAGTTAACAGCAGTTAAGGCAGAGGGGTGCCTCCTCAGTTCAGGACTCCTGATTGTAGCCAGAAGAACACACTCTATTCACACCCTTTTTCACATGTCAGACCACGGTCATGTGAACTCCAGTGAGGGGCACCATATAAAAAGTCCACATTATAACAGAGCATAGAAAGTTGCTACCAACCTTTATTGAGTGCCGAAATTGATAAGTCGATAAATTGTTTGACAGAAAAGTTCTTGCTGACTATTTTGGTAGAACTTAATTTAATTATACTGCATGAACAATTGTTGGAAATGGCATCACTCAAAAGTAATGTAAAGATATCCCTTTTGGGATATGTCAACTTGTGATTTATATTTCTCTTTATTTACTCTTTCATGACACACTATTCCCCTCTTGGGAGTTCTGGAACTAGTGTATTCAGCCATTTTTTGACAAGCAAATTACAGTATTTGAAGCATACTGATCCTACAGCAGACACCTACAATATGCCGAAGTTATTGTTTGAATCTTTATTGATGTTTTTATACATTTGGATTATCTTAATACACTTTGGAAAACCTTTGTCCAAGAAATACATTGTAACTATCATGAATTTAAGCTGACTGCAGCTGCTGTGCTTCATGAAGCAGCAAAGTAAAACATTGTTACAACCACATTTAAAGTCTATAGGGAATGAAATGTCTCATACTTGAAGAATATAAAGTTTGGAATGGAGTTATTTCTTGAGTAATTTCCCAATTATGAGATTGTTTTTGCTTTACTCTGGGTTCCCTTTTAGTGTGTATGTGAGACAAATATCATCAGTTCATGCCTCGGTATGCTGTGATATTTGCCATTATTCTTGCTTGTGGACTAAAAGGTAAATCAGGTATTCAAATAAATGGCACTGTTGCTATGGCCCTATTGGCATATCATCAAATTCACCGGCACATAATTGATGATTAAGTAGTTTGAAAGCTAGATTTTCTGCCTTAACCTATAACTAGAGTGACACCATAACATTTTGATATTGTAAAAAAGACTAGCTTTATGTTGAATTTGACAGTTGATCTGAGTCTGGTGACCTCTAGTAGGCATCTACAACACGTCTCACAGTGGCTCATATTGTTACACAGAGACCTGCTCATACACACATGCACTGACAAAGAGACTGGGCTGCGGTGGTTTCCTAGGTCCCGGTACGTGAGGGGTTCCAGATGTTGATAGGGAGAGATCTGTTTGTTTAGATTAGACTGCACAGCTGAGGGATAGATTAGTTCTGCCTGGGCCGTGGAACGCTGTGCTGGGCCGTGCTGGGGGACTGGCCCATCGTCTGGGAGGAGAGGAAAGAGCGGCTGTTTATGTTTCATTTGGAACTGCCCCCCCCAGGCGACCCATGGACGACCCCGCCTGGAAGCTGTGTGGCCTGTGGACGCACGCATACTCACACAATACACTCAGCTCATATTAAATCTCTCAATTGCTTTACAATTGACTGGTGCGGCATTTTCACATTTGTGATCTCATGTGGTGTCTGTCATCACCTGCTTTCTGCTAGTGTCGAGGTCTACAGCAGACCACCATTAGCCCGCTAGTGTGTTTATTCTACATGCTGTCACGTGCCGCAGCTTTCGAAGAGATTGTCTTTTCTCAAACAGTGCTCACTCAGCACCGTTTATAAACACTCTGACACAGGAAGTTCTGTTTATTAGACAAAGCGACAGAGAGCAATTGGGAGTGAGCCGCATGCCTGCACAAAGGGGCGATTGTGTCAAACCAATGAGGATCTATGGGGGTTTGTGTTTCGCTAAACATTAAGGGAATGATATTTATTTTTTAAACTTTCTCTCCTACCTGGACCACAACATTATTTTAGTGGCATGCAATTAAGGCAGCCTGCATCCACACTATTGCTGTGATTGTTTCCACTTTGACGCCCACCCACCATTTCTTTTTGGCTGAAACAGGAAGTTGTAGTATTGTGGTTACCTTTCTTGCTCTCCCCACACAAAAATGTGGCTTGACACCCTCTGTGTGCTTTCCCCAATGTCAGAAGACATGCTTAATGGCCTGTCATCGATTTCAGATACATCCTCAGTTTCAAATTGCAGAGAATTCTAGATGATCTTGCGTTGATTAGCTGTACGATATAACTATACAGTCGAGAAGCAGAGGCATAGAAGAGAGGAAAAAGACCCCTTTAGAGTTCCTCCTAGCCACAAATGGAAAATGGAGCCATCCCTTGGCATTCTAGGTTAAGGCAAACATAGGCCAAATTGTAAAGAAAATAGCAGCGCCGCCTGCCTCTAATTAAAACAGTATCGCGTAAACATTGGCCTTCCTGTAGAACGGCCCCTCGCTCTTTCGCTCTGTTTGGGTGCTGAGAGAGGAGCTGGATATGTGGCTGTGGTTAAGGGGCTGTGTTGATGGGTGAGAGAGGGTACAGGCAGGAGAACATTTGGAAATGGGTCTTTTGTGGCTCAAGCTCCGGCCAAGGGTTGACGTTGAAACTGTGGGTTGAGCAGATGAGATATAGCTGCACTGTAATCTGGGCTGAATTGAGGTTAGCTTTACCAGTAAGTAACAAAGGAGAATACGAGGCCTATAGCATTCAGAGGATGTCTTTTGTTTTCATCAAGAACACAAAGATATGTGTGAGTGCTTTTAGTTGAATATAATAGTATATCGTCCTTAGATTTATGACCTGAACGGGGTTATAGGGCTATGGATTGCAGTCTCAAGGCTACAGACTGAGGGGAGGCCCCTGGTCCCGGAGCGCTTTCTTGGGGGACATGCGTGTAGAGGCCAGGGGCCACAGGGTAGACCTCTGGGACCCTGAGGTCATCTCGTAGAGGCCCCGCTATTTAAAACCTCACCTGATACTCGCCCTGTGGCCTGGTGCAGAGTGAAGACTCACAGCAGAGGGGAGGCAAGGGGTGGAGGATGGGAGGGAAAATGCAGCAAGTCACAGCTGTCACCAGGCATTGTTTGTGTCCTGTATGTGTGTGCATCTCTACTCATTTCTGCATGCCTGTAGGAGTGCATCGCATGAGTCACATATTGTTAGGAGACTATGCATTGTTCTCTCTTGTATCAGTATTTTAGTTAACTAACTCATGCTTAACCTTTGACATCTGTCCTCCAGCAGAGGGCAGTGAATCAGAGATGGATGTTGCTTTAATCTCTGAATTACTGTAACCAAACATGGACCAAACGTGTTTTCTCTCTAAAGTAGCTCCCTCCCCACATTGCATGTCTGTTTTATATCTAGTGCGATTAAGAGTTGAGTACCCAGAGTTGGTGGTTGTTTTGTTGTTTTGCTGGTAATGGCATCGGAGAAGGGAGCGGTATAATGTTAAATGCATGCGGAAGAAGCCATGACATCCTTTCTTGTGGACGAAGATGAGGAGAAGGAATAGGAGGAGGAGGGCCCTAAATGTGGCGTCTCCACTGAGAGGATTGTGGTTTGCATGATTGAATTATCCAGCTTTTGATGTGTATGGGAGCATTGATACATGCTTGGATGCACACGCACATGCACACACATTCACATATGCAGAGAGGCTTTGGAGTTTGGGTTCTGTGAATGAGTAGGTGGTTGACCAGGGCTGGCATTGCAGGCTATTTTGATGGGCCTCTCTTTGCTATTTTTCCTCTTTATTCATCTGTTTTCCCCCCTTTTTCTCTAGTTTTCTTTTACTCTCTCCCTCACACTCCATCTCCAACTGCTTTCATTCAGCAGCCGCAAGCAATCAAACACACAAACGTGCCCACACCCAATATTCTTTCCTAGTTTGCACAGAATACGCCACACAGTCATTTCTCTTTCTCTTTCCATCCTCTCAGTCGCACACAAATGTGAGCATGCAAACATGCACCCCTTTCTAACATTTTTAAAACTGGACTCAATTAAGTTTGTGTTTATCAGTTCACTACAAACAGGATTAAGCCTCTATAGAAGGAATAACAT